GCAAAATTCCTCATTGGCAACCTTCCATAACAGGTATTGTCCTCCATTTAGCACAGCTTTACACATATTAGCCCAATCTGCTGGTGTCATGTTCAAGTTGGTAACGGATTCCACCATGCTTACAGTGAAGGGTGCTTGAGGACCATAGGTTGTTACAGCCTCTTAAACTGATTCAGTGTTTTGAAATTTAAAGCATGGTGAATTCACTGCCCTCTTGCCTGCTCAAATACAGGGCATGTTAATATTTGAGATCCTGTCTCAGGATCCCATCTATCAACTGTGGGGGTTGGGGGCCTCCCAGCATATGGAGGTGGCATTGTTGGTTGGACACTTATGCCCTCTAGTGATAGATAGGTGTTAGTAGCAGTCTCCTGTAGAGGTGGCGCTGTTGGTTGGACACTTATGCCCTCTGGTGATAGAAAGGTGTTAGTAGCAGTCTCCTGTAGAGGTGGTGCTGTTGGTTGGACACTCACGCCCTCTGGTGATAGAAAAGTGTTAGTAACAGTCTCCTGTTATAACTTTTCCCCTGATGGCTTTTTCTGTTCTAAATTTTCTTCCTCTGTCTGACTTGCTCGAGAGACCTTCTCTTTTACTTGAATATTTCTACTATAACTATAATACAACCCAACAAGATAATGCCAAACAAAACTGAAACAGAGTGAAACAAAATTGGAACAACAGAAAATCATTATAGCCTTTCTATCCTCCTGAAATGTCCATCCATCCTTTCTCCCTATTTGTTCCTCAGATGTGAGCGGTTTTTTTTTCCATCTTACACATCTCCAGGGACAGGCAACTTAAAACAAAAGTGAAGCAAAACAAAAGAAGAATCTTAAAATGGCTACCCATCCTCTCGCCCTGCCCTCAGGGGCGAGCAGTTTACCTTATCACTTACCCTCAGTTGTTCCCCTTGCAGGCCACCAAATGCTACAGTCTGGCTGGGCACAATTCAGGAGCCACTTGTCAAAAGAAACGAACTTTATTTTTAGAACACACACCACACCACACAGCTCTTCAGGAATTCCCTCAGAGCCCAACCAACTGCCACCACCAGCTTGCCACAAGCCTCTCAACCTCCCCCACTCCTCCTGCTCTTGAGGCCGATTGGCTGGGTTGTGTGGGCGGAGCCAAAAAAGTCCCCCAATGAGCAGCTCCATGGTGTGAAAGGGCGGGGAAACAGCCCAATGAGCATCACCACAGAGGAGCCAATCAGTTGGCAGCCAGAAGTTTGCTGGGGCCACTGTGAGCCAAGCATCAGCTGGCAGCTGGAAGTTTGCTGGCAGCTGGAAGTTTGCTGGGGCTCCTTTGGCTGTGGCTCTCAACAGTTGCTCAATGGTTCAATCCCAGAACTGGGAAAAAAAAAGCAATATTTACATGAGTTAAGGGATACATAAATACTAAAATAAATATGGCAGCTTACTTTGAAAAGACCAGAAGTTTGCTAGTGGAAGTGGCTTTCACAAGGGTTGCAACTTGTGAGTTATTGTCAAGTGTAAAGGGAGGGTCATTGTGATTCCAGCTGGGAATGAGTGTTGCTTTCTAGCTTACTTGGGGAGTGAGGCAGGGCCTGGAGATGAGATGTTCACATTCCTATGTTGGTTGACTTAGTGGGATGCAGTTTTCTGCAGTCATCTAGTGTTTCTCATGAATCAAATCACACACAAGGAAGCCTCAAGTTCATGTTATGCTCATTCTGTAATATATCCATCATGTTAGAACAAATTTGAGATTTCAAAATAAGTGTTGCGGAAAAATTGACTGCGCAATGATTCTTTTAATATTTTCATATCTATAGCTCACCTTGTTCTTGTCAGCACCCTGGATAGCAGGGAAGCAATTGTCTGATCTTTTGATTCTTTGTTGGAAAATCCTGAGCTGTTAAAACCCATGTAGTAACTGAGCAAACCTGTGCCAGACCTGCTCAGGTCTATTTGAGTCCTGGGCAAGTATGCTTTCTTTTGAAAAGCAGCACTCTCATGAATATGGGTGTATCTGGCCCCCAAAACGTGGGCAAGTCCACAGAGACAGATCGCAGAGGCTGCTTGGAATACCAGCCACCTGATTTGCTTTTTAGACACTTCAATTCAACGTTTTATAAAGTATCTTCTAGATGCCATACTTCCTCTGGTCTTATTTTCTCTGTAATACATGCTTAATGCTTGTTATAATTTAGATTGTGGTGTCTTTCAAAAGCTAATGTGCGCGACAATGCAAGAATGTTGAGAGGTGAAATGATAAGATTAGCTGGAGTGATATCATTTCATTAATCCACTTGATTGGAAGGTAACTGTAAACAGCTACACTGTGGCTGGGGGAGGTAGGTCACTGGGGGCATGTATGTATTTAAAATACATATATATGTTTTTATATATTTATATATTTAAATATAAATATATATTTATATGCATGTATATATTTACATATAAATATATACATGTATATATTTAAAATACATATATGTGTTTTCATATATATTTATTTATATATTTACATATATTTGTCCTTGGTGAACAGAGCTCTCTCTGCTTCCTGTTTACCATAACTTGAGCTCCTCCCACCACCTTTTCACCTTGATGTCCTGCCTCATTTGGGGCCCAGAGCAATGGGAGCCTGCTGTCTGTAGACTAAGACGTCTGAAATCTTGAACTTAAAATAAACTTTTCCTTATTGAAAATTGTTCTTTTCAAGTCTTTTGATCACAGCAATGAAAAAATCTGACTAAACAAATGTTTAAACATGATATGTTTTCTTCATTGTATGATTCTGAAAACTTGGCTATAAGAAGTCAATTTATAATTTTGGACATGGCTTTATTGAATATTTTTAATGTGTAGAATGTTTTAGAAATTATTTTCAACTAATCTTCCCAGCCCCAGAGGTCATGTCAAATATCAGGGTGTTTGACAAGGCCTGTCTAGTAACTGTTCTCCATTTCCAGAAGGCTGGTACCTGAATTTCAGAAAAGAATAATGATGAAGGGTGCAATCTAAACAGACTTTGCCCTCAAGCATTATTCAATGTGGAAAATAAAATTATATTCTTCTGGTGACTTTACACAGTCTGTTTTCTTTTGAGAATGTTAACATTTTTATCAAGCACCGTTTATGGTCAAAGCAGTGGTCACTGTCATGAGAGACAGAAAAGGGTGAGACATTGTCCTTGCTATCAAGGAACTGCTTTGAGGGTTCTGGTTGATGGCTGGGGATATTCTTTATCATTGTGTTTGTGTTTATATGCCAGAATATGGGTGGGCTCACATCCATAGGTTAGTAATGAGACAGTCCTGCCTGGTATTGGATAAATCAGCGGGTGCGAGTCGGTTTCTGATCACAGCATATTATAAAGTCACGAGTTTATCATGGATACTTAGAAGTATCTTACACAAAACTTCTGCACTTATCCTTTATCTTTTAAGGTTTATTTTGTGTATTAAGAAGAAACTTAATTATAGCCATTTGTTGTAGGGTTTTGTCTGTAAAAGCACAGATTTCAGGACCATCCAACTGATGATAGTGTTTCACCTGTGGAACCACACACAACCAGGTTTGAAATTTCTTTCTTATCATGAAAGAGGTGCCTCTGGAACACATGGGTCATGTGTTGTCTGGCTCCTGAGAAGAGAAGAAAAGCCCATGCTGTCTCTTTTTGTAAAGTTATTTTCATAATCAACCAAACAGCAACCACAATGATTATCTTTATCAGATAGAACAAATTACATAGACTGTGTGGCTTAAAAAATAAACATTTATTTCTCACACTTATGGAGTTTAGAAACCCAAGGTCAGGGTGCCAGTGTGGTTGGGGTCTGGTAGGGCTCTCTTCCACATTGCAGATAGCTGATGTCTTGTATCCTCATGTGGTGGGAAGAGGGCTAGCAATCTCTCTGGCCTCTACTTATAAGGGCACCAATCTCATTCATGAGGGCCCAACCTTGTTACCTAACTGCAATCATTTACTTCATGATGGCTTTTCAGTTGATGACAGATGACCTATACTGGTGGTCCCATAATATTATATGGAGTAATGACATCGTTATCATCTCAATTTGTGAGTGTATGCCATGATATTTGCACAATGACAAAATAGCTTAACAATGCATTTCTCGGCATGTATCCCTTCAGAATTGGTCCCTGTTGTTTAGCAACACATGACTGTACAACCTAAAGCCTCCACCTCCATATACCATCATTGAGCATTAGACTTCAACATACAAATTTTTTTTTTTTTTTTTTTTTTTTGGCAGGGGACACACACATTCATCCAGCAACCATGACCAAATAAAGTTAAAAAATTATAATATATTTAACATGTTCATATTATCCATTTTGATGAATTTTTGTTTTTTTAAACACATACATAAGCACTAATGTGATTACTATGAGTATATAAATACTTAGGAATAATGTTAAAACTTAAATTTAAAGCCCTTCTGACTGTGAGGCCAAAAGTGTTTCTTTTCTTTCCCTCAACCCCATTTTCTTTATAGTATGATTTTTCTGTTTTAAGCACTAATTGCTTTCAAGGGATTAAATACCAGGTCAGTAAGTGTGTTCTATGTCAGTTAGTACTAAGCTCTCCATTTGTTCTCTCTCTCTTTCTCTCTTGCTTTTTTTTTCCCCCCAAAGAATTGTTAAGAGAGAAGGAAAGAAAGTACTTTAAAATAAACATTCAGACTGCCAGAATCTGATATAAACTTCAGCTTCAATTTTATATGGGGTAAAAATTGAGAAGAGCTAGGGTACTCTGATTTTATTAATAGCATAAATTCCTTGCTTTTCAATGACTCCAAATGATTAATAAGTGAGACTAAAATATCTTATTCTTTCTTATTAGAATTTAAAAATTTAAGCCTGCTTTGAGTCTCTAGGTTATAAGATATAGCTTAGATTCATTTGTCTTAAATATGCTTGCAGACCAAGAAAATTCAATGTCCCCTCCATCTGTATGCTGTTAATCTTAACCCACTTCTACCTACCTCTTGTTTTGTTTTATTTTCTCAGGGAAGCAAAAAAATTTGTGAGTGAAAATGAAGGAGCTCTTGGGAAGGGAAAAGGAAAGCAGTGGTTTGCCTTTAAGATGATGATGAGTAAGGTAAGAATATTCATTCAGTCTGCTTTGTGCTATATTGACCCCAAGGGGGAGAACGTTGCTTCTGTTCTAAGAAGGTGAAAAACTATCTTACAGTTTATATGTATAATGCATAGATATATACAGCACATGCAAGTGTATTGTGGTATTAAAATTTGTGGAAGGGATTAAAATAGTATCCTTAGAGGAGTGAAAATAGAAAATAAGTTGAGAAACACTGATTTATAACAAAAGACTTATAATATTTTATCACCTCCAAGTATAAAATACTTTCCATTTTAATTTTCTGGAAGTTAAGAGGTCTGATCAAGATTTCTTTTTTAAAAATGTCTGCAAATTGCAGGACCATATAGCTTTTCTGTATCAAGAACATCAAACATGTACGTTGGATAAAAAATAAGAAAAAATTATATACTGATAAAATATTGATTTTGGAGAAAGGGAAAGATAAATGTTTATTTGTATTACTATGCAGCAGGCACTGAATTGAATTCCTCTGTAAAGTTATAGTCAATACTCACAGTAAAGTAGGTTCATAAGTATTATCATACTGTCTTTTATAAATGTTATACCAACTGTAAACTAAATGAATTTCATTTGTGAATAAAATTCATATATCTTGATTTTCATATATTTATATATATATACACACAAATAATATATTAATTTATTTTGCTTTATAGTTTTTATATAAGTGTCATTACAGTGTTTATGCTTTTGTTTTCAATTTGTTGCATGATTAGGATAATGAGCAGGGCTCATGTTACTGTGGGAGTTTAGTTCATTTTTATTGATGTGTTCTATTTTATGAAGATGCTGCAATTTGTTTATTGATTCATTCTATTGTAGATGGGCATTTGGGCTGTTTCTAGTTGTGAGTAACCTTTCAAACTTTAGACTTACACTGCTGTTATTTAGGCTTGTTTTGCTTGCTTAGTGTTCACATTATCCCAGCATAAGTACACATATACAAAATGATCTGCCCATTCTGTTTCTTCCCAGTGGTCCCTTGACCATGGATAATGCTGTGGAGTAAAATAGAAGGAAGATTTTTAGTAAGCTGATTTGTTTCTTCCTTCCTTTCCTGTGACACCATTTCTTTCCATTTAGCTGACTGTTCTGCTTCTATCAGAATGAAACGTCCCATGTCATAGAACTTACCATCCTGTATTGAAATCTCTATTTATATACAGTTTACTCTAGAAGAGGAAGTGCCTTTCAAGGCAGAAACTGTGTCTTATTAGTATCTCATTAATTCCTTCATGCAATGAATATTAATTAAATACACACCATGTGCCAATCACTTTATTATGGGTTAACTCAGTCCCTTCTCTCTTATTGTTGGTAGAATTAAACAGATCTTATGAATGGTCAGTATACTCTCTCTAAAATTGGAGATCAACAAGTATTGTTTTTAATTTTTTTTTTTTAATTAAACTGACCTGGGGATAGTGGGAAACAGGGAAGCAAAGGGGAAACCTACTGTTATCCATTTTTACAAAAAAGTAGTATTATGTGAGAGCTTTCCAAACTCATTGTCTTGTGAAGATTTGGGCTGGGAATATACATTTTGACGATTGAAGGAGCTGGGCTTTACTACTGTACTTGACTCCCTTTTCAGAAATGGGCAAAATTCCTTCGTGATTTTGAGAATTTCAAAGCTGCTTGTATCCCATGGGAAAATAAAATCAAGGCGATTGAAAGTAAGTGTTCATCACATCTCATTAGATGAAAAAATTGCCCTAGATAAAAGTCTGATACCTTTCTCAGTTTCTAGACTCTTAGAAAGATGAAAAATACACGAAAATATAACTTACTCCTTTGATTACTGTGAAGATTTGTGTTAGTCCGCTTTCCGTTAATGTGAAAAACACCTGAGATAACCAACTTGAAAGGAGAAAAGGTTTATTTTGGCCCAAATTTTCTAACTTTTCAGTCAAGGGTCACTTGTCCCTATTACTTTGTGGCTGTGGCAACATAGTACATCATGATGGGAGTGCATGGCTGAGGAGGCTGTTCACCTCATGACAACTGGGAATCAAAGAGAGAAACAGGAAGGGGATGGGTCTGACATCCCCTTCTAAGACCTGCCTCCAATGGCCTTAGTTTCTTCTACTAAGCCCAACATCCTAAACATCCCATCACCTCCTAACAGCACTGTGGGCTTGGGACCAAGTCTTTTTTTTTTTTTTTTTTTAATTGATTTTATTTTTTAACACATAGGTCTTTGGGGGATATTCCAGATCTAACCTATACCAATTTGCTTTGACTTACCAAAGACAACACTAGAGACCCCACTTTCATTCCTGTATTAGACAAATCCTCCCCATTGTGAACTCATTTTCTCAGACAGGGAGATCAGTATTGTACATAGCTACATTGAGTCCTATCATAGGCAAGGCAGTGGTCTTATTTTGGCAGTGAACAGGAAAATACATATCCTCATGAATGTTAGACAACGGTCAAAATAAGCAAAGTTTAAAAAGAGTAAAGAAGACTTAAAAACCTCACTTTCAAGCTTGTGAAGAAGAATAAAAAATAGCCATTCAGAAATTTGCTCTGTGGATATTCATAGTACATTTTCATTTTGTACAATGTTCATAATGTACAATGAAGGCAGGTGAATGTACCCAGTCAAAAACCTCCTTAGTACAGTGCCCTTCTTGGCATAGAATAAGGAAAATAAAAAACAATGTTGTCAACAAATAATAAATCATTTAAAAGTAATAATGTATGTGAAGAAAAATGGATGAATTTGAAACAAATTTGCACACGATCTTGCCGTAATCCGGTTCCTAAAGATTTTGACTAGGATCTGATCTTCCTTCATACTTTTTCAGATTCTAGGCAGATTTTCCTCCTGGTTAAATGTGGTGTTACATAATTAGAATGGAGGCTCCATAGGGAGATAACACAGCTGATGACTGTTTCTCACATGATTGGACATATTTTAGAAGTGGCTGTCTCTCAATTCTCTGATTTTCATTATTAAATATAATGAGTAAAACACATCAGCTTACTAACTGCACCCCTCTCACAAATTCTTTGGCCCACCTCTTTTTTTTCTTTATTTTCCTCCTTAACACTGTCCCTATCTAAAAGGCTATGAAATCTAGCATTTTAGATATATTTTGTAGCACACCAAATTTAACCTCTAAAAATAATTTCATTTCATTTTATTTTATGCCCATTTTCTCCAGTAGACATGAAAGCAGGTATTTTGTTTTGTTCATTCCCGGATTCCACTTGTCACTTAATAATAATGTTTTGAATAAAAGTGTAGACACATTACCCAAGTGCCTCCCATTCTAGGTTGTAGACAAAGGAATTTTAGACACATCAGAAGAGAGATGTCATGGAATCCTTAGGTTTCAATGCTACAGCTGAAATATGTTACCTAGAGATGCACTGAGGAACAGAAGGCCATTTGGAGCGTTAATATTCTGATCAATATATGTGGCAAGAACTCCAGATTTGGTCCTTGCTTTGCCACAGATTAGCTGTTCAACTTTGATCTAGGTATTTAGTCCTTCTAGGCCTTAGTCTACTGATTTATGAAATGATAGGTTTGAATTTCAATCAGTTATGAGATATATCCTGAGGAATTTATAATTTGTACATATAGTAAAAAATCAAACTTTGAAAATTATTTAGTTTTAAAGCACACTAAACCAGATTCCAGCCCATTCTGATAATGAGTTCTGCTCATTTGTTCCAGGAGCCAATCTGGTATGGGATAGAAACAGATGGGATTATTTTATTGACCAAAGATGCACACAGGAATGTGTTACATATGATCATTATCTATCTTGAGTGTCAGTAGAAAAGACATTGAGAAATACTCAATAATTCCTTCAATTATCGTCTCTCTTCCATTTTCCTCCATGGAACGTGCAAAAGTCAAGCCGGACAAGCAATTAAGAAAATGTGTACTTTTTTTCTTTTTATGTGTAATTTATTATTTGCTTAGGTTGACTTTGTTGCTGTTCATGATGTTTTTCCTCCAATGTGAAGAGTCAACCCTTTTTTTCTATTCTGTCAACCATCACCAGAACCACCAAGTATCAGTATGAGTCAGACATTCTAAAACATTATTCTTTCTAATCTTCCTTAGGCCATCAGTGTGCACACTAACTTTCCTATTATATAGCTGCAGTTAAATAACTGTCTTGGAATTAGTGAGTAGCAGAGGAGAGGTAGAAGGCACAGTCTGTCAAGGTTCAAGATTATGCAGTTTTTTTTCCTTTGAGGGAAATTTTATAAGCTTTTTTTTTCTTTTTTAAATATGTTTTGTACCAGTTACTAGAGAGGATTTTACCAGGTCAATAACAGGACAAGTAGTTACAGATTTCCTTGATAGTTACCCTATTTGGGGAATTAATTTGCATCTTCTCATGATTTTACTTTTGAATGAATTATTTCGTTATATATTTCATGATGTAAGATGCTAATGTACTAAGATATTAGTGATAGTCATAAGCAGACCATATGCTTTTGAACTATTGCATCAGTCAGAAAGTATAAAATCTAATGAAGATTATGTTACTAGAGCCCCCAAGTATCTCTTATAAAGTATTTACCAAAGCTAGGGAAAGTGTGTATCTGTGATTGGACTTTGAAGCTCAACTGAATGGAAAATTAGAAGAAATGGGGTTGAGGACTTTTTGATCCATTGGTGCTATACTTTGGACAATCTTTTTCATCTCTGGCCCTCAATTTCTATATTCAGGGTTTCAGGTAAAATCTGGGGTTTGATTAGTTATTATACAAGGTCTATTTCAGCCCAGTATTCCATGATGTTGAGTTTACAATCAGTTTTAGATGTATAGTTAGGCATTAAAATATCTTTATACTTCTGAGTGATAAATTAATGAAAAAATACAAACGGAACACAAATTTTACTAATAGAAGTCTGTTTAATTATCTTCTCAGATTCTTTGAGTTTGAGAATAAAGTTGATTGAATATCTACCTTAATTATAAAACATGCATTTAATTGTAAACTAATATAAGTGTTTTTCTTTAAAAATAAATGACCTTTAATCATAGAAAAGCTTCAGAAATATTATTAATTCCTTTTAAGTGTCAGTATTATATAATAGCTCTGTTTTAGTCATCTTTTTCATTGCTGTGACTAAAGGACCCGACTAGCACAATTATAGAGGAGGAAAACTTTATTTGAGGGCTCACAGTTTCAGAGGTTTTAGTCCATGGAATTCTGACTCTATTCCTCAGGGTTCAAAGTAAGACTGAACATCACAGAGAGGGTGGCGGAGGAAAGCAGCTTACATCAAGGTGACCATGAGGCAGAGAAAGATGATTCCACTCTCTAGATACAAATATATACCCAAAGCTATGCCCCAATTCCCACCTCCTGCAGCTACACCCAGCCACTTCAGTTAATCCCATCAGAAATTAATTCACTGATTAGGCCAAGGCTATAACCCAATCATTTCTCCTTCAAACCCTCTTGCATTGTTTCAGACATGAGCTTTTGGGAGACACCACATCAAAATCATAACAATCTCTTTTAGTTTTCAGAATAAGTTTGACATTATTGAATAATTTATCACATGCTATCGAAAAGCCTACCATGTCTGAGGTGTTCCTAGATACTATGGCTACTGACAAAGATTAGCAAATACTCTACCTTCACTGATCTCACATCAAATGTGTTAATACATGTTAATATATGTATGACAGATCATAAAATGTAAATAAACAGTGAAGATGATTAAGGATTTCAGAAGTGGCATGTTTGAAGTTGCCTTCTACTTCCATCAATCTTTCTAATCCACCTGCCCTCACTCTCTAAATAATATTTTTAAATGTGACTTTAATGGAGACCCACATGACCAACCTTCACTGAGTTCCCCTGACCCATATCTGGTAGTTGAATTCCAAGAGAGGAATTCAAATTAGACTGGAACTCATGCTGTTACCATCTTGATTGCAGTAAGACCTGGATTTCTTTATAATCATGGACAAGGTACTCACTTGTTGACTCTAAACTTTTTCTTTTTCACTTAAACATTGATTTGATAATTCCTGCCACAGAGGATGCTGTGAAGTTCTGCATCACACAGGAATGCCATGGGTGCTACCAGCCAGCCTTGAAAATGAGTCAATGCCTAAAATCCCGGCTTACCCTCCACCATCCACATTATTAACCACATTGCTTGCTTATTTTACTGACAAACCTGCATGAAAATATAATCCATACCCACCCTGATGTTGACATGACTACTAAAATCATAACTGAATGTTTTCAAATTGGAGATTATAAATTTTTCTCAGAATAAAAATCTACCTTTTTTGAATAGTAGATCACAGCATCAGAAATACGGTATGACAGATTTATTTCTTAGACTAGAAATAGCTTCCGATAGACAAACCAGAGAACAGAATTTAAACTTTGTTTTTCTCTACTGGCCCAAGGACTCTAGAAAATACAAATCAAATTTGTCAAATTTAGTTCTCTACCCCAGACTCATTTGAAAAAATGTGCTTCATATCCGAGCCTAAGAAAATGATATTTATGTTTTACTCATAATATTATTTATGTTTAACTCATTAATTGGTCTTTTCCCATTTAGATACGCTCATATTTATCTGCTTGTCTTATTACCCATCTGTTCAAGAGGAAATTATATATGATGACAGACTACAAATTACTTTGCCTAAATAATAAATAACCAGAGGGAGAGGTGAAGCTTTTACCAAGGAAACAAGAAATTCATGAGCAAGAATATGCATAAACTTATTTCTCACTTTAATACATATCAAAGACTCTTTTAATACATTAATAATTTACTATAAAAGCAGCATTTATCAGTTGGGCTAAAGAAAAAAAATTGGTCCTTTATGAACACCATTCAAAGAAATTCATTTTCTTTTGTGAATTAGAATAGCCTTAGTTAATTGATGGATATTAGCTGTAGCTCTTCTGTCAGAAATGTACATTCTACATTTATTATAAACATCATATTTTAAAAAATAATTTAACTAGAGTTATACTTATAGGGGCCAAAATATTGTGATAAGAGAGATCAAACCCTTGTAGATGTGGAGTCAAATACTTGTAGATGAAGACCATCTAGCTCAGAACCCTGGCTCCATTGTTGACTACCTATGCAACCAAGTGGCCCAAGTCTGTACAAAATGAGAGTACAATAGTTTTCACTTCATAGGGACTTGATGATGATTAAATAAGTGAATACATGAGATAAAATAGGTTTCTGAAACAAAGATTTGTTAAATGTAAATTATTATTAATCAAATCTTGGTTCAATTAACTGCTGTGTTTAAGTTTTTGTTTTGTGACCAATATAGTAGGATTAAAAATACTTAACCTCATCAGGTTCCAATGGCATTAAATGAAGGGTTGCTGACAAGGATTTTAGTGCACTTATTTGGCCATCAAGATAAAACTATTATATACCCATTTTTTTTTTCTTTGCGAGAATAAATCAGTTTTTATCTCAGAATTGAGCATGTGCAAATGGTTATTCTTTTTATTCATGCTCTGTCAGCCACATTATATAAAGTTTTTCTTTTTAGGGAACATCAGTTTTTATTAATAACCTCTGGTAGGATAGAAGTGCTAGAATAAATGTGAATTAATTGGGAAGATTTTTTTTTCCCTTTGTGTTGAGGTGGGAAGAGGTCCTATGAAATTTGACATCAACCATGATTTATTTTCCCTCATCTTTGTCTTGTTGTTGTTCTTATCCCTCGGCCACTTGTTGGTTGAATGTAGAAGAAGCATTGTCTTCTGGATTGTCTCTTTGACTTGTGTCTGCATTGTTCATAAAATCATTCTAGTTTTAATGAAATCTGTTTTATTGAAATTCATTTTCTTCACACTTAGGATTCTGTAAAGAATCTACCTTTAAACAAAATAGTTATGAAGCCATTTTCTATCCCTAAAACTGATGGTTGGAGGCTTTGGACTCTGAAATGTATTTTTTTCCCATAATGAATATATGTGTTGGAGGAGGGGATATTTCCTGAAACATCTTCATTTACTTCTGTATTTAGCATTAAGTATGTTTAAAATATGTGCTCAAAGAAACTCACTTGCCAGGGATTGTGTAATGAGTTCTGAGAGAGTGATAATTAGAGAGCAAAGGAAGAAAGGAAGGAGGGAACAGAAAAAAAGGAAGAGGATGGAGGGAAGGAAGGAAAAAAAAGAGAAAGGATGGAGGGAAGAGGAGGAAGGAATAAAGGGAGGGAGGAAAGGGAATAATGAAGGAATAAAATAAATAATGAAAGATCCACATCCTGTAATTGCAACTCTGTACCAAAGGATCTTACATATTTCCAGAGAAAAATGCCCTAGCTACAAGATGGAGATTCTCCTCCAGTAAATGAGTAATTTAACTGTAATGATTGACAGATTGGAAGTCCTCAGCTTTCAAAAAGGCATAAGGAGTAAGCCTGGCTGAGTAGTCCTAGGGTAGTGGTTACCAGAGAACATAACTAACAGCCATGAAATGATATGAATTCACCAGGAGCCAAAGGTACAATCAGATATCCTAGGAAGGTCAGGTTTGCTTCAGAACTTTTGCAGAGGGACCAGTGCACATGGTTGCAGCATCTGGAGGCAGAGGTGTATCAAAACTATATACTCTTAGAAATCTTATCAAATATTATACCCCTCTATAATGTGAAAAGAATGAAACATCTCTTTTTAGCTTAAAGAAAAAACAAATACCCATACTTCAAAATCATACGTTTCTTCTAAAATGTCCATTTAGAGATTAAACTCTTTGTAAGTTTCTAAAAAAATCTGCTACTATACTATGGGAAAAAGTAAAATGGCACCTACAAACTAAGTTCCAGATGTGGAAGTATAATTCATGTGAGTTGTTATAGTTCAGTTATGTGATGTTCCTCAAAAGTTCATGTGTGAGACAATGCAAGAAAGTTTAGAGGTAAAATGCTTGAATTATGAGAACCTTAGCCTAATCAATTCATTGATTCACTTGAATGGATTAATTGGGTGATAGCTATAGGTAGGTAGGGAGTGGCTGGAGGAGGTAGATCACTGGGAATGGACCTTTGGGGTATATATTTTGTTCCTGGTAAGCAGCGCTCTCTCTGCTCCCTGGTGGCCATGTACTGATCATTCATGATGTTCTGCCTCACCTTGGGCACAGAGCAAAGGAGCTGCTATCTGTGGACTGAGACTTCTGAAACCATGAGCACCAAATAAACTTTTCCTCCTCTAAAATTGTTCTTGTGAGGTCTTTTGGTCACACCAGCAAAAAAGTTGACTAAAATGTTAGACCACACGAACCTTCCTTCTCCTGTGATAATGATGCCCCACTAGACGTTTTTCAAAACCAGAGGGATCAAGATAAATGTGGGTCATTGCAGGGGATTTACTGAATGAAACAGGACAAGGGGGCGTGAGGGGGTGGCTGAGGCTGTTCATGGTTTTTTCTTGGGTCTGGAAATGGTAATTGGAAAGATTGGAAAAGCTAGCAACTTGAGAAACCCTTAAAAGTGATCCTCAAGACAATTTTGGCTTTTGTAAACCTATCCCATCTCAACCTGAGACTTAAAATTCCTATTCTTGTTTCTTCTTTCATTCTCAGCTTTAAGAGGATGATTTTATTTATTTGTTTTATTTCCCCAGTAAGAATTGGACAGACTGCTTTACTTTTCAGTTTTGGGTGGGTGTGAGTTGACAAAATATTCTTGCCTGTTGTTCTTCAGTTTATTCCCCAACTGTGTTTGTTTTTTTTTTTTAAAAAAATATCATGCCTATGCCCACTCCTCTTGCCCTACTACTTAACACCTGTCAGTGACTTCTCATCACATTTTAAATGAGATCCTCACTTTTTATATTGCCTTAGCAGGTCCTACACAATGTGGTTTGGCCTCCCTTCAATTCCATCTGTCATGGTTTTCCTTCATTCATTGTACTCCAGCCACACAGGCCTTAGTTTTGTTCCTTAATTGTCCCAAGCTCTTGCCTCTCTTGTTTTTGTTCTTGTCTAGCTCTCTGTGTTGTGGTCTCTTCCTCAGTTCTTCACTCTGTTCTTTTTCTTCACAAAACAACCTGAAGCATCCCTTCTCAATACTTGCAGGACTCTCTGCAGGTCTTAGCTGACTATAAGTATTATATATATTTATATACACAGATAATCTTCATCTATGTGTCTATACACACATATATAAACTATTTGCTCCTTCCATACCTTACTAAAATGAAGTTCTCAAAGCAGCACTTGGTTTATGACCGTGTGCTTCACATTTCCAATAAGTCCTGAAAGGAAATACTTAGTAAAGATGTATGGAGTAAATTTCAGCTTACTGCTGCCAGTAGTGAGGGGCAATCGTTCAGAATAGTCTACATGATGACCACTCATAAGGGATGTGGGGAACTTTTTCTGAGAAGGGCATTGTTTGCCTGAAAAGAAGAGGAGTAAGCGATAAGGATTATAGAGGCTATAATTATAACAAATGACAGGCTAGGAAATGTCCTCACCAATTTTTATATATATTTTCTTACTTACCTGTATTAACTGAAGGAGTAAAATCAGCCCTGCAGGTACCAATCACAATTGCTAAGCAAAAGGTAGCTTTCCCTCTGCTGGACCCTGAAGGTGTACGCACAGTCTACACCATTACATCGTTCACACCTCCTCCAGTCTACACCACAGGAAGCATGTCCATCATGATTATCATGAAGAAAGAAGAATGTCACAGCTTATAAATGTGAAAGGGCCAATATGTTTCAGTTTGCAGATTTATTTTGAACAAGAAAGAGCATTTGCTTTGTTTTGTTTTGACTCCCCATTCAACATTTTTATTTTCTTTGAAAATAGGTCAGTTTGGCTCATCAGTGGCCTCCTACTTCCTTTTCTTGAGATGGATGTATGGAGTAAATATGGTTCTTTTTATACTGACGTTCAGCCTGATCATGTTGCCAGAGGTGAGATATGACTTCCAGTTTACAAAACATACTAATGAAAGACTCTTATGTGATAGTTCTCCTAGAAAAGCTTTTATCTCTCTTTTTGTGAATAGAATGACCAACTGCTATGTTCATTTATTTTTCTTTTTCCCCTTCTCTTTCTTGAGATATTCACTTATACCCATAGGATTTGTAACAAGGTTAACCTTGAAAAGGATGCCCCTGATAGATCCAGTCTACACCAAAGGCAGGGGTAAGGTTTCAAGGGTGGAGTCTTGCTTTATGATGTCTTGTAGTCAGCAGGCTGATTGGCATCTTGGCAGGTCACACCCATCTCAGATGGGCTGTGCAGGTACAGTGGATCACCCCTTCTCCAGTGCTGTGTGGGACCTGGCAGAGCTTAAATAGGGCTCACAATGTCTCTTGGCAGTCAAACAGAGGAAATGTCCACTGGAAGTTACCAGACACGGGATTTTCCTATTCAATTAGGTTGCGATATACTTGACAGTCCACACATAGCCTAGGGATGGCTCGTGACAATGATGAGTACATCTTTATGTAGCTTGTAATAGTGCAAAGCACTTTCATTTCCTTTACATACTGAGGCTCACAACAAATTTAGGAGGTAAACTATAGAAGAGTTTTTCATCCCTCTCTTAGAACACGTGGAACCAAGTTAAATAATGGTTAGATGACTTAGTTAATGTTCCAGAATTATTAATTTATATATATTTATCAATCTGTCCTAGAACTGGGACCCATGATTCTGTTTTTTCTTTGTCCCCAGACTGCATTTTAATGAACTAGTCTTATAATCCCTGTGATAATTCTGGAGCTTGTAATGCTGTCTGTCTCATAGAAGACAGTGGATGTAAATTAAAAGTCCTGTTTAGTTTGTTTCCCAAGTGAAAATTCAGGCAATGCAATAGAATGTGTGTATTTCATCTATTTCAAAATAATCCTAGCTTTGATTTTGCTCTTCTCTAAGGAACCTGAAATTCCTCCATTCCATTACTACCTACAATAGCACTACTTAGTTTCAGAGGCAGGTATAAATGGAATCTGATCAACCGCAGTTGCTCTTTTCCCAATACCATGCTGCTTCCATGTAGAGGAAATAAAAATTTGTCACTAGATCATATGAACTCTATGAAATTACCGAACACCCACTCTGTGACAGATGGATAAATATGTGTTCAATGGCATGTACCTTGAGAGCCGGGGAATATTGCATGCTTTTTCATAGGTTTGTGATAGATGCTGAGAAGCATCCTGTATTCTGGGCAGCGATCAGCAACTTCTGCCTAAGAATGGAAGAGAATGAGCTTGCTGCATGTTAATTTTACAGAACCACTAGAGACCAGGGCTAAGCATCTCTGGGCAACATGACTATATTTTTTGGCTGCCTTTACCCAACAGCCTCATTCAGCATCTCTCTTGAGAATTGTTCCCTTTTGTCCCAAACTTCTGTGTCCCTGGTCAAACCTGATACCTTAATTGCCTGTGTTCTCTGTGCCTCTCAACTTTGGGGGGAAATGGTAGAGGTAGAAAGTACCTTCTATTCCGTTCAAACCAGGATGCCCAAGAGACCAAGGGCTTTAGGGAAAGATATGCTGTTTGTTCAGAGAGAATGAGGAGGGTCCAATTTCCTACCCTTACCCATCAAGTTCTGCACTCAGAGACTTCAAACCACATCCCTTCTCTGCCCCCAGCTCAAGGGGAGGGAAGATTCCCTTTATCATAAGATGGAATTCCTGTTTGGCAGGCCTGAGGGTGCTTTTTCCAGTTCTCATCAGGACCCTTTTCTTGCCCTGTCCCTGATTGATTGCTCCCCAGGACTATTCTCCACTAACAGGCTTGTCTCCTTGTTTAGTAGCACAGATTCAAGGCAGCTACCCTGAATCAGGCATGGTACAGATACTATAAGCAGGGTGCAAGTGTTCCTCCTGGTGGGTACCCTCAAATTACATAACTGATTATTTTGAGGCTTCATGAGGGAGAGATCCTTCCTCCACCCTCACCCCTAAGGGGCATTCTTATTTGGAGATGTGGGTAGTTTTGTTGAATGCTACAGTGTCCCCAAAGGCTTCTTAACTACTTTTCAAACCTCCTCTAAATTAGACCACTTTGGAAGTGGTGGAGGGGCTCCTCAGAAAGCTGCCTGGGGCTGTGGTTGCCCACCCTGCTGCTGGTCTACTGAACTCGGACTATAGGCTCCTTAGAGCTTCCTTTGTTCTTAACTCTGGATTTAGTTCATTCCCAGAAAATGGGACCCCACATGGAGAACCACAGAGTCCCCATGAAAAAGTTTTTGGAGTGATTTTAAACAAAACCATTTGTGATCACATGTGTGGCTCAGATTCTGTTTCCAATTGTTAATTGCTTTTTTTTTTTTTTTGCTTCTCCATGTAGTACCTCTGGGGTTTGCCATATGGAAGTTTACCTAGGAAAACAGTCCCAAGAGCTGAAGAGGCATCTGCAGCCAACTTTGGTGTGTTGTACGACTTCAATGTAAGTGTCTCCACACAACCATGGTGGAAGGGAAACAGATTTTTCCTTATGTTATTTATTTATTTTTTTGAAACTCCAAGGCCTCTTTAACCAGGACTGACAGGATGTTTTAAAAGAAACATCCATACCTCCTGTATAAAAAAGAAAAAATGTGGGGAAAGTATTTGTAAAATGTGAATAAGTTTGATAAATATGGTAATATGATTAAATGGGAATACAGGCTACTGAATGAAGGTGAGCTCAGAGTTCAAAGGCTTGAAGCAAATATTCTTAGCTCTGGCTTTGGAAAAGAACAAAGGAAGAATTTGCAAATGTGCCTATTGGAAAATCTTGTTGGATTCTTAGGGAATTAGTTTTTTCATTTAATATTAACCTCTTCACTTCCTAGACAAGCCTTCTATTCAATATTAGTCAAGAGTTAAGGCTAAACACGAAGTAATAAGAAATACCAAATTATAATTTTAAATGATATTAAGATGAGTATTGTTATACTAAGTACAAATATGAACAAAGCCCAATTACTATCATAGAGACTTATTCCTGACCATTGGAAATGGTTTTGGACTATGATTCAAGTCTATGACAATGATGCAATTCCAGACTGACTGACTGACTGACTTACTTTCTTTCTTTCTTTTTTTTGGTAAGAAAATTATGACCAAATTAGATCTGTTTGAAAACATATGGGTGGAAAAGTTGCAGGGCAGATATTGGGCAATTCATAGTTCAGGGAATATTTGTAGGATAGCCAATGAGAATAAAATTTTTATGTAGACTACAGAATAAAGGAGGAGGGGAGAATGAGACTACTTTTTTACAGTGTTAATATGTACATTTCACAGATGTTTTGATTTCTACTCATAACCCCCTAAAATGCGAGCTTCCTAAAGAGGGGATTAGGTCTGCTACATCCTCTTTTAGCCCCTGATCTAATCCTCACTCAATGGAGCCTTAATGATTATGTGTCAACTGGAAAACCTGAGGAGGGGAGGATTTGTAGAGCCTTGAGATAAGAAATAAGAAAATCTGTTTGTTCATTAGTACCAGAATGTGCAAACCCAAAGAAAGGTTCCCACCTTCTGAGGGAGCAGAGCAAGCTATTTGTTCCTTTATATCACAGAGGAGTGTCCCATTGTCTGGCTACCTTGCACTCTGTTTATCCATTCACCACTGATGGATATTTGCATTGCTCCCAGTTTTTTGGTAGATAAGTAGGAGGGAAATTACTAAGTGTATGTTTAAATTTTAAAATTTTATCAGTTTTCCAGATTGGCTGTGCCATTGATTATTTCCACAGCTGCATATGAGGATTGCAGTTTCTCTGTATCTTTGACAGTTGGTATTGTTAGTCTTATTTATCATAGCCTATCCTGTTGGAATTTTAATGGTATCTCTTGTTGTTTTAATTTGCATTTTCTTTTTTACTAGATATTGACAGATTTATAGATGTATTATTTATAGGATGCAAAGTGATATTATGATTTCTTAATACATTGTGGAGTGATTAAATCAAGTTAATTAGCCTATCCATCACTTGGAATATCTGACAATTTTGGGATGAGAACATTTGAGATTTATTCTCTTATTGATATTGAAATGTACAGTACTAGGTTATTGGCAATATTCACCACATATGCAATAAATCTAAAAAACAACCCTTAAACTTATTCCTTTTATCTAACTGAAGTTTTTGTACAATTTGATTATCATCTCCCTATTCCTGCCACCTCCTCGGCCTCTGGTAAGGACCACTCAGCTTCCAGCTTCCATGAGTTCAATTGAGTGGTGAGAACAAGTGCTGTCTTTCTGTTTGTCTTATTTCACTTAGTGGTGAACCGTGATTGCTCAGTAAGACCATTCACTTCACAACCCCCTTTATGATGAGTATTTTTATGTGGAACTGAGTTTGACATATGTAAAGTGGGGAAGATACTAGTGTTTACCTCAAAGGGCATTAAGTAAGATAATGCATGAAAAAGTGTATAGCACAGGGCATACAGCACATATTAAATATTCCATTTTTAAAAGAGCCATAACTCGCCTTAAGGCAAACAGCTATTGGAAAACAGCTGAGCTGATTGTATCAGACAAGGCTAGATTTGTAGATAAGGAAAGGATATAAAAGTTCTCTTCTATGATATTAACTAAATACACAATAAATAAATGCCTTCTGATGCTAATGAGAAATCATGGAAGGATTCAGGAATAGGGAGTGATATGATTATCAAATAACTCATTGAATATGGTTATTCTTACAGAGGTGTTATTGCTGCTGTAAGGAATTTTATATAATGCATGAATTTTATGAGTTTGTAATTTGAAGAGACTTTTCTGGTTTTTACAAAGATTCTACTCTAAATTTGGCAGGGAAAGAACTTGATCCATGTTATGGATGTTCTATTTTTCTTTTCTTTTTTTTTTTTGTCAGAAGAAAAATTTGATTTATCCTGGAAAAAATGAAGAGATCAGGAGTAACAAACACTTATATCAGACAAAAAGTTGGGTCTGAAGCTGAAAGAGTAGCTTCATAGCTGGAATATTATCCTGTTTATGTTATAATCTAGTTCTCATTCCAGTCTAGCAAAGTAGTCCTTCCCATCCCTAATTTATCAAGAGACTGAGGTTTGATGGGACTGATATTTTCTCCTAAGTTTCATAGGCGTTAAATAATAGACCTGGGATTCTTACTACTCTGTCTGACTCTGAAGCCTAGAACAAAATCTCTCTACATATGCTTCCAGATGCTCCTGAGATGGCCATAATTTTATATTATGGATTCATAAAATAAGAAAATTTTAGAGATGGAAATGCCCTTAGAGATTTTCTATCCTATGATCTGCATTCTAAAACCAGGGAGACCTCTCAGAAACAATGTATTATATTCCATCAGTAATTTTCCTGTTATAATTTTCAATAGTATTCTCACTGACTGTTCCTGGAACACTGACTGTAATGCTTCCTCTCTTTCAAAGTGGGGAAATTAAAGTAGCTGAATCCCCTTTTCATCTTTTATAATAAATTTGGAATTTCAAAATCAGATTCTCAAATAGAATGAGAGGGTCAATATTTCTTCTTGCCCGATTTCCTTACTTGATCCTCCAAACAATGACCTCATAGAGGTGCCCACTCTATAAGATGAACCCAATATATCATCCATCATGGTACCTTAGAGGAAGCCATCACCCCAAAATGCTTAAGTTTTCTGAAAATTCACAATTATAACTTTCAGAAAGCCCAGAGACACCCGGAAGAAAAGTCATATTTTAAGCCCAAGACAGAGATAAATGTGGTGCTAGATAATCTAATTGAGCCATGAGTTGGTTTGTTCTAAGGTTAATGTACCAACTTAGCCAAGGCATTCTATATAAATGTAGGTGAAGAGAAGGAGAAAAAAAAATAAGTCTGTGTTTACAGAACACTATAAAAATAGATGCAAGCATGACCTCTTGTGGTAGAGGAGAACCTACTGAATAGAAAGGGTCAGAAAAACTTGAGTGGAGGTAGGAAGGGTGTGAGGAACTGAACTTCATCTGGGAATCTTGGAATCGTTCCAGCCCTATGGAATCCCAGATCTCTCTGTCACTTACAAGAATGTAAAACAACTCATCCAAATTCTTTTTAATTAATAGTAGACAAGAACCATTTAGAACAGGCAAGGTCACCAGTCTTACAGCTTATCAAAGTAATAATATACGATTTGCAATGCACCTTATTTTGGATCCTTTTACTAGGTACCTAGTAAGTAGTCTTACTGATCCAAGAGGTAAATGTATTTTATTAAAATCAGAAGAAATGAGAGATTATCTAACATAAATGCTATGAATCAAATTGTCTGAAATGGTATAATTTAAATTAACATAATTAGAATAAGTTTAAGTCAGTGTGTTAGTCAGTTTTCTGTCACGTTAAGGAAACACCTGAAACAATAAAGTTATAAAGAGAAAAGGTTTATTTTGGCTCACAGTTTTGGAGGATCCATTCCAAGATTGGCCAGATTTGTTGCTTTAGGCCTCTGGTGGGGGTACTGGATGCAATGACAGGAACATGTGGTGGAAGAAACTACTTGCCTTATGGCTAGGAAGCTGAAGAGAAAGAAGAGACTGTAGTTCTACAATTCCCATCAAGGACATGCCCCCTATAATCTAAGGACCAACCTCCCAATTAGATACCACCTACCAAAGGTCCCACAACCTTCCACGAGTACTACTCTGGGGACTAATCCTTTAAAACATGGCCTCTGGGGGAGAGTCAAGGTCTAAACTATAGCAGTCAATAAGAACAGAATCTCTGTCAGCAAGATACTTGGGTGTATAGAATGGAGAGAGAATGATAAATGATAATCCTTATTAGGAGAAAGAGGAGGAACAAGGTAGAATATGGAAGGAGCTTAAGCTGAGAGCAGACAGTGAGATCATATGAATAAAGATATGAGTTGCTAATAGAGGCAAATGCATTCAGCTTTTCAGCTTGAGATCATGTTATAAATGAATAAATGGTGAGTTGACTTTGCCTTTCATTTTTTTACCATTCATAGATGTGGGAAGTAGAGGAGACACTGGAAGGTACAGGAGAGGAGAGTTAATGCCCACTATTTTTTTTTAATTGGTGCATATTAATTGTACAAAATTGTAGTTAGAGATGACCTATTATGTTTTAAGCAGGCACCTACATTAAATTTTATCTTCATAATAACTCTTCAAGATAGGGATTATTATTAAAATTTTTAAAGTTGTGGGAATTAGACTTCAAGAGGTTGGTTAATTTACCAAAGACAGTGAAGATAATTAAAGGAAGCACTGAAATTATAACTAAAATCTGGATGACTTTCATGTCCAATTGTTTGTTTTATTTTAACATATCATCCTAAGCCTATTTATTCTTTCATATTCTATCCTTGAAGTTTGTCCTCAAAGGACCTTGGTCAGATATAGTATGAATATTAATACACAGGAGTTCAGTTTCTTATTTAACTAGTATCAATAGTTCTTTTAAATAATGAT